TCGCTGTCGGCCTTGACTTTCCTCGGCCGAGGCTCCGTTCGTCCGGTGAGGCGCCGCGGTACATGTAAGAGGTTCCAACAAAATCAGTAAACGATACGCGATTTAAATTCGGGCCTCCCGGAGATCTCGGTCTCGCTCTTAACGACGCGGCTGTCGGTCCGGCAAAAGGGGCGCGAACCCGCGCCTTGTGACGGCGGCGGGACGCTGCTCCGCTGCAGCGGACTGCGGCGTCACAATATATATAGATAGGACAACAAAACGGATCTCGGGAACGGACGATGTGAAAATGCACAGGCACGAATTACGAAATGAAATTTACAACGAGGCTATTAACGGACACGCGGAATACGGTCGCGCGATTATAAGCGTAATTGCTTTCTCGCGAATTAATAACGATAGGTCGTTAAACCTCTTGATTAGGGTTACCAGCCGATTTTCGTGACTGATATCGATTCTTCTAAGCACGCTCCCCTCTTTATTATACAATCCGTTCAAGTTAAATCGGGGCTGCGAACAGCGAAGAATATCGACTCGCGGGGAAGGGGAGGAGCGGGAGAAGGGAGTGAATATATCGATCGGGCAAGACACGAAGTCGAAGTGGAGCTGTTTAATATGTACAGCCCGCATTCTCTCCGAAACTTGCCCCAGATACGGATATATAGGTCGGGTCACCTGCATCTGTGCCGTATAACGTAACGGGAGGGATAACTCCGGCGCGGCGCGGCGGCGAGCGTGCGTATTGGTTTTAGCACACGCGATGCAGTGTACGCGTTTGCACACGAGAAACGCGCCTGCCGGCCGTTATGCGCCAATATCGAATTCATCGCGTATCCAATTTACATCTCTCGGTGCAACATTGATGGACCGCGGGGCGGATCATTCGCGGCCGCGGGTTGAAATATTTAAGAAGAGATTTCGCGACAATGAATGCGCGCTTAATTCGCGCAATCCGCGGCGCGATCTGCGTCTGCCATTATTGCTCGTCATCCGAGAGGCGGCCTTCGCATCGCCCCTCTCCACGGTACTTTCAGTAATCATTCGTAATGAGCGTAAAATAGCGATGTCACCCGTTTAAACGTGAACGCGCGATTGAACGCAATTAATAGCGCGAGAGTGGCCGAAGCTATAAATTGTACGCACACGCATCTATACGTGTACGTTCCGACAGACGCGCGCGATCACGTCGATGCTTCACCGCGTAGACGCGTTATTTTGAATTTTAGATATAGCCGCGATTTATAAGCGCCTGCGTCTCGACGTGCATGTAAAAGAATCCCCAAAAATAAAAAGGCCAGATAGATCCAAGATACATCCTATACATTTGCATAACGGAAAATCAATAGCGGTTTGCCACACCATTGCTTGGTAACATTCGCTTTGAATGCGCTAATATGTATAAAGCAAAACGCTGCTTTCCTTATACATTTCTGATATATTTCGCGTCACGTTAACGAATTGAATTTTCTATCATAGAAACTTTTCGTGGTTGACTTCGAGAATTCCCAAGATATTCCTTTAAGAAGATAATTAACTTCGTTGTTGGCTGCATCATTTGCCAAATCTTCTTCTGTCATGCATTTAGTAATCGCGCTACAAACATGTATAATATTATATTATTTTCTTCTTTTGCTTGCTCTATTTAATTTTAGATTTTATTTGTGTGGTGGAAATTTACTTTTTAAATAAATTTCCACCACACAATTTATTTTTTAAATAACTGCTTATTAAAATTTATTTAGAGCTATTTTTTTATTTTATCAATTTACGTACATGTTTGTTAACTCTTTATTTTAGAACAAATTTAATTATGACAAGATTTATTATACAATATATAGTATACAGCCTTGGCCAAAAATATTAGACACCTATGTTTTCATTTATGTATAGAATTCTTTTAGCCCGTACTATTTCCTATTAATTATATATGCTAGTTTAAAGAGTTCTTGAAATAAGAGATGCTTCACAGCACAAATGCTGTAAATCAATTTTTTAACTAAAACTTAATAATAGTTAATAAAATAACAATATTTTTTGCCAAAGCTTATTTTTGGCCAAGGCTGTATAAGATGAAGGTACAACGAAATTGAAAGAATTGGCCTTTCGCGTGATAGGGAAGATTGATCAGTCAGATACCGCAAAGTGATTTATTAAAAGTTTTATATCTTTACTATTGCAATTATGTTTTTTATGTAAAATTATAATTTATTTATCACATTAATAAAAATCAGGAGGCGGTAGAGTTACACTTGTACTACTCGGTCGTTGATTGTGACTTAATAGTGACAAGCACGTTATTCTTTTTCTTTCTCATTACAAACATCTTTTATTTTAAGGATTTCTACTTGGCTTTTTATTGTAAGTCTCTAGAAAATTTTTTATAAATTTTATCAATGATCCTATATTAATTTTAAGCATCATTTTGTTTCCTATTTCGCAGTTAATTTTTATTATTTTGATCTTTTTACTTGAGTCTTTATTAACTGATCTTCCACTCCGTTGGACTTTTTACTTACTTGACAAAGAAACTCCAAAATGATGAATTTAAACCGCATTATAACGGCGCATTATAACTCAAACCGCATTATAACTCAATATATTTTTGTATTTTAATACAATTTGACTCTGCGTCTGTATTATTCTCATTAATTTATTAATCCGAACGTGGCTGATGAAGATTAAGTTAAGTCGAAATATATATATCATATACAGCGTCAATCTACTTAATTCTTACTGATAATTTCATTATATTAATAAACGCTGTCCTCGTTTAAATAAGCTCGTTAGTTTGTTCCATTTCTAATTTCTGTTTGTAAATCTACCCTGCATATAAGACAGCTTGTGACAATTACCGGAATAAGCAATTGTGATATTGTAAACACTTTTAAATATTATTAATTATTTAAAAATTGTATTAAACTTTCGTAACGTAATAGTATTTACATATGTATATCATAATTAAATATCATATAGAGAAGAGAGGGTGAGATAAATGTGAAATACCATGCTATCTCGTATAGTTTGTGTTAAATTTTAGGGATGACCGTTAAAATTACTTCCTTACAGTCTATTTTAACATTGTAAAATGATTACTAGTTATTAGTGTTCACTGCGTTTTTATAAAAACTGAATTCCAATTTTGTAGATAACAAAAATTTTTACAGTAGGTGTATACTCGATCTTTATATAATTTGGAGAAATATGTTAGGTTAATGTAATATTAATTTTTTAACTTTAGTTTAGCTTGAAGGTCTTGAATGTGGCTTTCAAATATTGTAATTGAATTTAAAAATAAAAAATATTAAATAATTGAATTTAATGTGTGACATAATGTGTATGAATCCGACATATAAAGTTATATTATGTACGGGAAAGAGTCATGGGCACTTGTATTGCGAGCGTCGCAAGCGTCTCAAGAAGTCCCGTTTCCCATTCCTTGCACGTAATAAAAAGTAATGTTGGTGGAGTAAAGAAATTATTTTAAGAAATTATTTTTTAAACTAAAGAAGTTATTAAAAAAGAATTCTTTCTTGCAAGTAAAATATATTTTACAAAACGTTTATAAAATCTGTTTTGTGGTACTTATTAGTATGTAAGTTCTACAAAGGATTATTATGTGATTTTCTAAATAAAAGTGCCTTTTATGACATTAGTGGGTATAGTATGTCATGACTCTTATTTCACAAACGCGTCCTTTTTTCCCATTTCAGTAAATTATAAATTATGTTTGTTCCATATATACCCGATGAACTTCTACCTATAGAATGATTGGTATTTGGTGGAACTATGGTTATAAACAAACTTCAACTTTTATACGAATTGCGTTATCTACTGTTGAGTTATTTTAGAAAACAAAATAGAGTATTCCACTACCACTTCTCTTCTTTATAAAGAGAAACATAAATGTAATCAATTTTTTAATCTTTTATTATTTTAACGTAAATAAAAGTAGTAGAAAACATTATATAATAAAAAGATTGGAAAAAGAGATATCTATTTTTCTATATCTACTAGAAATGTAAATTATAATAAATATAACAAGCGACAGCTATAACAAATGTATAATTTACTTACAAGAGACATTCACAACTATCCGAAACTGATTTTCTTTGAAAAATGTTAAACACAAAAATCTAAGAGACACATATTTTTTAATACGTGCGAGATCTTATGTTTAGGGCGTAAAACGTTCCTTTGAAAAAAAATTTTTTAAACAAAAGTTATACGGTTTGAAGAGTACTTTCAAGTTGTAAAGAAAAAAAATTTTTATGTTCCTTGTTTAACAAAATATCCTCAATACCGCAAATAAAGACTCTTTTCTTTACAACTTGAAAGTATTCTTTAAACCGTACAATTTTTGTTTAAAAAATTTGTTTCTATCCGCGTTATATTTCTGATGATATTCGCCATGAAAGAGAAGAATCATTTTTTTCAAAGGGTGTTTCACCCCCTAAACATGAAATTTCCGCATGTATAAAAAAATATGCCTCTCTTAAATTTTTGTGTTAAACAATATATTTCAAGGAGAATCGAATCGGTTCCGGACGGTTGTGACACATTCCTTGTCAGTCACAACTACCCTCTCTCTGATATATTTTGTAATTGAGATTGTAATTTAAATAAAAATTTTTTAAAAATCAATATAAATAAAATAATTGATTGTGTGTTATAAAGTAAAGACTCCAAAGAAATGTTATAAATTATAACGTATAATAACAGATGGATTTAGAAATATTACAGATAATGTATATTTATTATTCCACTTTTGGTTCTAGAAAATAATAAATATTGTTTACCTTGAAAAATATATTACGCATTTCAAAACCGATCACTAAATTACTGATGTTATCTTTCCGAGACAGTGTCATATTTTTTGTACAATGCTATTGTCTTTCATTTCAGAAATATATTAAGTGTTAGAATCTGTCTCATGCAACAACTAATCCTGGTCTCCGCTATCTATATACGAAACAAGAGGCGATAAGTACTCAGGCAAATTAGACTCAGGAAATACTCACCTCCGGATTGCAGATTTTATATCTGGTGGTCCAGATCTTCCCCTTGCACGGTCTACGCCTGCATCGACGTTGCTGCCGCGAGATTCCGCCACCGCACGTCCTGAAAGAGCGAATAGCGGGAAATTTATACATCAAATTAAGTACAATGAGAACTTTTTTTCGAGCGCGCCGGTTTCGACCGGATGTCTTTCTCGGACACGCTTATTCAATGAACACTTCATAATCAAGGCGCGCTGAAATCGTCAAGAGTTTAATTGCATTTCACCACTGCGTGCCGTCGCGCGCGACGCAGTTAGTTAATTCAATTTACTACTTCACGCTAATTTCATGAGCGATCTTTATTCGCCGGAGAGAAATTGCATTACCTCAACAAGTATTATATAAGTTGGCTCCCGCCCGGGAGCGCAAATATATTCGCGCACTTAAATAGAAAAGTGTCATTTACGATATGAAGTGTTCTTGCGAATTATGATCATATGTAAGTGCCCTCTGTTCAAACAACATTAAATATTTTGCTTGAAGTGGAGCTCACTCGAGATTTTTGTGAGTTATTCGTAAATAATTTTCTTTTTGTAAAATTTTTACTAGATTTTAAATCAATTCACGACTGTAACTTTATTTTCGTACCTGACGAGATTTTTGTGAGTTATTTTTCGCAAGTAACCTTTTGTCAAATTTTGTATTACATTTTTAATCAAATTGTGACTGTAACTTCATTTTCGTATCAATATGTGAAGTTTGAGAGAAGACGCGATGAATAGATATTTTCTTCGGAATTATTCTTTTTAGATTATTTCTTTAAGAAAATACTTTCGGGATTCTCTGAGAAAGCTTCAAATAGAATTATAATTTATAGAAGAAACAGTTAAAATGTCAGGAAATTTATAGAAACGACATGTGATTCGAGAGATAAAGGAAAATGAAGCTAATAGAGAACGATCATTAAATATGAAGAAATGAGTGTAAACTAACCGAGTACCCTTAATATAGTGGTACGCAAATAATATCAATGGTTACAAAGTAAGTTTGTACTCTTTAATTATATATCTATTGCTCGCTTTTTTCTCTCTTTCCTTCCCTCTCAATTTCCAGCTACATATGTATACGAATCTTTTGCTCGTACGTCGAAACGAGCATCGTATTAGCTCGACTATTTATACATTAGCAGTCATCGTTATTAAATGGTCTGCCGATTGAATTGATCATCGACTTGGCTCCAATTTTAGAGAAGTCGGCATCGATTGCATTATTCTACACGGATAGTAATTATCTGCTTTGAACAATAACCGACGCACAAACAATTAGTTAATTGGAATAATAATACGTAGCATACATTATGCGTACAGATTAATCCCAATTACGAAGCTTTGTAATTACGTAAATAATATTGCGGATGGGGGTTAATTTTTAAATTGTCCGTAAATAATACACACGATGCGCAGTGTATAAGCCTATTCTCTATTATTCGCGGTCCTATTAATTTTGCAGCACTAATTGAATTACGTAAAGACGTAATGTTATTACATAGTCACAGCTCCTACGGGCTGTATTATTGTTTACGACAATAAACAAGCTCGTATCGTGACGTAATTCATCGGTCGCGGTAACAACAATAATTATTATTACGAGTGTTGCACTTAGCTAATTAAAAATTATTTAGATGTAGATTAGATAAGTTATATGTAAATATATCTTAGATAAAAGATGGAAATATAAATAGTTTCATCTAGACAACATTAAGATAATATATCACTTTTAAGTAAAAAAAGGATATAAAAAAATATGTTCATATTTTTATTTAAAAATTTTTATTTTTTTAGAAATAAGAGTTTTTTTAATGTTTCATCTGATAAACAATTTTTACATTAATTTGTTGTCCACAACTAAACCGGCATCGATGATGACAATAATGTATATATATATTTTATATGTAGATAATATTATATGTACATATTATACATATATTGTACATATACATATATATATATATTTATATATATAATTTTCTTTAAATATAATGTATAATAATGTATATATATGTATATACAGGGTGTCCCACCTCTACCGGATTTCCTTTTAAGAACGTGTTCCTAAGATAATTTTAAGACGAAAATCCTAATACAAAAATGTCGAGGCTATAATGCTTTTCAAATTATAAAGGACTTAAGTTAACCAATATTATCGGCTGAAATTCGCGCGCTCATGCACGGCACATCCGATGGCTCTTTTTTTACATATCAATACACGAAACTAACTTCGTGACTAACTAATGACTATAACTAACTTAATAAATAATACTTAAACTTTATAGGAACAACATTATGTTAATAAATTTAAATAATAAGTTAGTTTAAATATTAAGTTAAAGTATAAAATTTAAAAATTTACGATATTTTGCCTATACGAGCCTATGCCGTTATCGGGGCGTGAAAAAATAAAGAATTTCAATTTAAATCATAAAATAAAATTAATAATAATCTATTAGTACATAATTACGCACGATACATTATAAAAAATTGTCTTATTTATATTATGTTTCCTATTGCAGCGTTAGAACTGTTGTAATTTTATTTTATAATTTAAATTAAAATTCTTTATTTATTCACGCCCCGATAACGGCGTAGGCAAAATATCGTGAATTTTTGAATTATTTAGGGCTATAGTATACTTTTCTATAAAGTTTAAGTATTATTTATTAAGTCAGTTATAGTCATTAGGTTAGTTAGTCATGAAGTTAGTTTCGTGTATTGATATGTAAAAAAAAGAGCCATCGTAATGTGCCGTGCCTGAGTGCGCGAATTTCAGCCGCTAATATTGGTTAACTTAAATCGTTTATAATTTAAAAAGTATTATAGCCTCGACATTTTTGTATTAGGATTTTCGTCTCAAAATTATCTCAGGAACACATTCTTAAAAGGAAATCCGGTAGAGGTGAGACACCCTAATATATATAATATAAAAAATGGTAGAGGACTTTTCGATTCAGTTTAGTCCGTTCAACCTACCTATGAACGGTGATACACCTATTATGAGACACCCTGTATACAAATTTTTTTTAAATATAATGTATAATAATGTGTGTGTATATATATATATATATATATATATACACATATTATTATACATTATATTTAAAGAAAATTTGTTTGACGTGAGAATATAAAGCAAAAATATCTAATTTTTTAGATTTAGATTCTATAAATATGAAAATACTTTAATATTACTGCTGATCACTGGTTATGCCAAATTACAAATCTTGCTTTTCTTAATCCATGTCACAAAAATATCCTCTTGTCCGCTACTCTTAAAAATTGACTTATCCTGAGTTTATCTTTGGAATAAAAATTTTCTGTTTCTTTTAAAAATAGTTTTTTACATAAGTCCATGTAACATTCTGGCACCCAATTTGATTTAAATCTAGGCAATGAGATACATCATATTAATATAAATAATTTGCAAAAGATAACGCTTAATTCTTTTATCTAAGATAAAGATAAAGAACATATATTTTAATAATCTAGATAAAGATAAGATAAAGCCATTTCTTCATCTAGATTATTATCTAAATAATGTTATATTGATAAGTACAAACACTGATTATTACACATCCTGTTAGTTTTTGTGAAATCAGAAATTGTAATAGAGACGAAAGCTCGTATGAAGGTATACGTGCAGATGGTGTAAGAAACATCAATAAGTAGAGTGCTGTAGATCACACAATAAGCTTTGCCGACCAAGTGCAGTTCGCAAGTTGTAAGTGCCATAAATTGCTACGTCTCCCAGTTCTGGCCACTTCTGTATAACTGAAAAACGAGCGCGCGCGGGGTGAGTTGAGAACAAACTTATTGCCGGTTGGTGGCCGCCAAAATGAGTTCCGGGGACGCTTAACATTCCGGCTGTGTTACCGGTAGGACTCAATATTAGAACCGCACGAAACAGGCGATGAGAAATCGCGGGATTGGATCATGCCTTGCATGCGGAGGAGGAGGAGGCTACCACCCCGCGCCGTGCCGAGATCGCGCCCTTTTGTCGCGCGCGACTGCCAAACAATATGTGTGCGCCGGATGTGCCGTTCTCCGTGTCCGCAGAGTTTGTTCTACGAGTATGATTTCTTCATCGAGAAGTAAAAACTCTGCTCTGTCTCGCGTGTGTATATATGGACGTGCATATTATTACAAAACACGTTACCACCAAAAAAACATTGGAATAAACATGGCGGGAAAAGTTAAACATAAAAGTTCTCGAGTAAGAATCGTTTCTCGTATTTTCTTCACGAAACACAAATGTTCTCCTCCAATTTTAATAAGTTTCGGATATGTTAAAATATAGACGAAAATAAGAGATGTATATTTTTGTGTTTTCCTGCAAGGAGAAAATTCGGCGATAAAATCTTCCCTTGAAAAAATCGTAATTTTAAATATCGTCTGTTAAAGATATGAAAAAATATTGCAAATAAAAGTTGCAATTTCAAACCTGCTTTACAACATTTGAATTTTTTAAAGTTAAAGGCAGAAACGGAGTATTGATTGAAAAATATTATATTTTTAAAAATTAAAATGTATGCACCATAAAATTATAAAAACGTACTTGACATTGTAAAACTTTTATTTACAATATTTTTTTATGTCTTTGACGATTTAGATGATATTTTTTAAGAAACCGATTTTCTTCAAAGAAAAATTTCACCATTTTAATATGCGAGAAAGCACTTATAAAAAATACGTGTCTTATTTTTGTGTCTTTTAACGTATCTTATTAACAAAGCATTAAAATCGAAGGGGGATATGGGATTATGGGGGGGACTTGGGGTTATGTTTCCTTGTTGTGTTTGTCTTCTCAAACTAAACATGGAATTAAAGCAAATGCCACTCGTTGCATTTGCCGTAACCCACCTTTACTAAGATAAAGAAACAAATAATTAAATAGTACTTATATAGACATACAGATAAAATGAAATTTATTGGTACACACTTTAGAAATTAAAAAAAAACATTTACGTCGTAAATTCGCAATTGATGACTTACCTTGTACATGGAGACCACTTCGACCACGGTGACCATTCTCCCCAACCGGCATTCTGAAATATGAAAGAAAAATTAGATTCGGATTATTGTATGTCGAGAATGTAAATACAGGAAAAGGGACAAAAATAAAGTTAAATTAAATAACGGATATTAATTATTAAATTATGGAATAATTTCGCGTGGGAATATGTGTCCTGAAAGTCTACTTTTACTCGTCTAAAACGTACATTATGTCTTAGTCATTAGTACGCTCATTTTCGCGCGACCTCGATTATCTCGACTGTCTCAATGCATATTTAAAGCGATTTTTCTCTATAACGACGTTTTGTCTACGAGACATTATTCCGCGGGCTTGACTTGTCTTCCAACGCACCGTGCCATTGCCCTCCCCATTACAACCCGCTGTCCCCTATTGTCAGACTTTTATTTCGCTCGTAAATGTGTCATCCGAGCCGACTACTAGCAGTAATCGGCGTCTGTAATGGTCCTCTCTCTTTTTCTCTCTCTCTCTCTCTCTCTCTCTCTGCAACGCGCTTCAGACGCCGTGACGCCTATGCGGATCGATCGCCTCATTCTGGCCAGTAAGTTTGCGAATAAACCGTGATAAAAATTTAACCAGCAACGAACAGTAAACGATCGTCGAAATTCCCGGCACGTTTTCCGCGAACCAAGCAGATTTCAAAAATTCACTTTTTGCCACGTGGTCCGAGAACCGTCGTGGCGAATTCGCGTCCCAGTATTTTATAATAAGCAATCGATATAGCACGCACGTGCTGATCACTATTTAAAAAATTATAGAGACAGAACGTAAAAATTTAATGAAGGGAGAGAAGCCTGACTTTTTTTTATCGATACATGACATTATAAATATATACATATTATTTTACCACTTTCAGATAAATTTCTAGTGTCAACCTTTTTTTATTGTTTTCTAAGAAGGTAATTTTACTGTTATAGAGATGGATCATAAAGATTTAATAAGAAGAGAGAGGCTCGATTTTTTTTTATCAATACATGATGTTACAAATATATATTATATATTACTTTACCACTTTCAGCCTACATTTCTAATGTCAATATATATATTATACATTTAAAAATTGTTACGGTATATTTATGTGAAAATTTTTAGATTATTTATTGAAAGTAAATAATAATACTTCTATATTTTTGAAGTAAAATTAAGAGCATAAACAGTATATTTATCGTAAAGAATATGCGAACGGATGTATTAACATGTAAATGTATAATATCTAATTCACATTTCTCACTTTTTCCACGTTCGAGACTGTTAACGTCCTCATGCACGAGATATGTCGTGAGCGAGCTAAAAATTTTCAAATTTATAGAAGGCTATATCAACCGCGGGATCGTTAACGTATTCCCTCTCGAAACAGCGATATGAGCGGGAATATTTCTTTCGATCGATCATCCCCGCCTTGCGCCCGTTCTTTTACCTAAAGTCTCTGATAATGAGCCGTTGTATCAGTTTTTTTCTTTTTACCGAGAAAAGGGATAACGACGGCGAGAACAATTAATCCTTTTTATCCGAGAACTCTATCCCTCCCCTCCCCCTCCTTCTCCTCTATCCACGTCCTGCTGGCTCTTGTTGCACTATCACACACGGAAAGAACGAGAGAGCATTTCGATGTGTTACGTTAACGGTTGCCGGCACTCTTCATGAACTGCGGTGAAATTTATTTTCACGGCGCTTCCTTCTGTTTCAGCCGTTTGCTCTTCTTTCACTATCCCTTTCGTTTTGCGCTTACGCTCGTGCTTTTCAACGGAATGTTGGGCTACTGGAGGCTAAAGTGATGGATAAGAGCGAAAGAGTGGATGGAAGGCAAAAGGGCAGAATGACGATAAGAAGAGGAAGAGAAAAAGGAAAAGAGAAAGGAGGAGAGAGGCGGAAGGTAAAGAGAGAAAGAGAGAGAGAGAGAGAGAGACGTACGGACAGCAGCCAGAAGGAAACGTGGAATCGTTTTGGCGGAAAAAGCCAGAAAGCTTTTAACGTGATTCCGCCGTCGGTTGTTTTATTCGGAATTCCGCACGATGAATAATGTCGGTGAGAGCCGAACGAGCCACGATCATCGTAGGAAATTATTGACGCATCGATCTCACGGGAGCCGCTCCGGTGTGTAGCACACCGCCGCCCGCACGCTACACGAATCACTTTCAAAATGCAGACCCATCGTCCGATATCCCGTTTATCTCCGCCGGCTCGCAGACACGCGGTACGTTTCATCTAGCTGCGATCGAATAGTCGCGCGCTCCTGATGATCGATTCGCGGCGAAGTAACAACGATCTCGTGCTGGAAGCTGCCGTGTTGCGACTCCGTGCATTGTTTCCCTTTTGTAAAAAAAGCTGCAGTTATCATCGCAAGCGAGATCGCTTAAAAACAAATTGGCTTGACTTTTGCGCAGCCACGCGTATATAATTGTCAGTACAATCTCCGATAAAATAAAAGAGATGATATAATAGATAATAGAAGCAGAAGAGAAAGAGTAATGACAAGTGAAATGAGATGTAAAAGCTTTAAAATGAAAGGGGCTTGTATAGTGTAGTCAAATCTGACTTGAAACACCTTTGGAAACACTTTTGTATAAAAGTTTGGCAAATTTCAACGCGAATACAAATAACGTCTTTGCGTGAATGGAGAAAGAGGCAATACCGATATCAACGGCGTTGTCTCGAAAGGGCGTCTGCAATGCGGCGTTCCGGCGCGGGCGGCGCGGCGGCGGCGCCGTTGCGAACCCGGGATGTCATCGCAGGTTACGACATGATACAACGATACATCAATACGTAGGATATTTATTCTCCGCCACTCGGGTTTCCTCCGGACAGTGAACATCGGTGAACGTTAGATATCGCGGAAATTTCAGTCGAGTACGACGTTGCACACTTCCTCCGCGCAGTATACACATTTCGTATTGAAGCGGTCTGAATTTTACATGTTCCTAAGGTGTACGGCAGAGGAAAAGATTATTCTCCTGAAAATTAAAGAAAGACGTATTTTCAGCGATGCAACTCAATCTTAAGTAACAACAGCGCTAATAATAAACGAGTAGGAGAGAACGGAATGCACTTGATTTAAAATAATCATGGAACGGCGAGCCTTCGGAGAATGTGCTGCAGTTGTGATAAATGTACTACGGGGCTGCTCAGGATATTTTTGTTGTAAACTGAACTGCGCTTCCGCTACTGAAACTCGCTGGGGCGGAGCTTCACGCGCGAGCAGGGGGGGGGGAGGGGGAAACGAGAATGATAATCAGGCACATAGTGTACATATTTCGTGAAACGACTCGTCAATTATAATCCTGACATCGTCGTCGTGGGACGTAATGAGCTCCACGAGAGAGAGGGATTAAAATGAGAATTTAAATGACCGCTTCCGATTCCGCATGTCCTCGTCATCATCTGGAATTGCGATCTCTCGCAAATTGGCATCGCGAGAAGGGAGCAGGGGAAGGAGGGGGGGGGGAAAGGGAGAGAGCCACTGATAGCCCCGATAGGCGATCTCTCATTCCGCAATGCGGGCTTTCGCCCGTTGCCCTATATAGGCACGGCACTGGCCCAGTCGCTGTACCACTCTAATTTGGCACTTTTATACTCCCCCGGGAGGGTTGATCGTCGGCAGGATAAATCTCGCTCAGAGACCGGGGGCTTTTATATACGGTCACGTCCCACAAAGGACGTCCTTTTCCATAATTCCATCGGTGCCGGCGGTGATTACAGACGCGGCGAAATATGTAAATTGAGCGTGAAAGCGAGCGATAGCCACGAATGCGAAATGAATGCGACGATGAAAATGTTAATATCCATTGTACGATTCTTAAATGCGACGCGAAAAAATACGAAAAATACGGCGCGACAGTGGTGAATAGTGTGTAATTGAGTGAAATGGCAAATTACACGAAGCGAAAGATCGTCAACTGGATCATCACTGATATCTTGCAATAAACGTTATGTAATGTTATTAATAACTGTCGTTTTAACAATCTAAAAACTGATAACTGATCTTTTCTTCCATAAATAATTTTCTCTTTAATCAAAAGTAATAAATCTCAACTGCACGAAAAGAACAATTTTACTGAAGTACCTAAAAGCTCAATTGCATACAGATCTGAAAATAATTTTCTTGAATTATCAAAATAATTATGCAGGACGTTCAAGCGTAATGAGCGATGGCGCAAAAAGTTTTTGATGTTCTAGCAATCAGCTTGAGAGCGCCTTACATAATTATTTTAGTCCAACAAAATTATTTTCGGATCCGTATATCTGGTTAAATTTCTGGATACTTCAGCAGAACCATTCTTTTTGTACGGAATCGTAAATTCAGCGCATCCTCAATGCCTTTTCCAGTTACATAAACATATTACGCCCGGCTATGTAAACACGTGTGTACGTATGTATATCGTGGGGAAGGGGGGGGGGGCTAGCAGAGGAAACAGAGAAAGGCAAAGAAAATCAGACTGGCACGACGGAAGGAGGACGAAACGAGAGAGGAAGAAGAGACGAGAGGCTGCTGGAGAGTAACAGGCTCACTATTCCCAATTCCCATCCAATCCAAAATCAATCTTAGTTCGTACTCTTAGACGAACTGGGAGTGAGATTCTAAAGGGATCGGTGAGAAGAGAGGATAAAGGGGGGTGAACGGAAGGAAGGGGGAAGGGTGGGGGAGAGGGGAGGGTGGACCGATCACTTTTAAGCAGCGTTGTGCAAGTCTGCATTATTCAAACTCTATCGTCGAACTAGGCGAACCCCCGCGAGTGCCCTTCAAGGAGCCCACCCTTCTGTCTTTTCTCCCCGACGCGCCAAACTCTTCGTCCCAACGTTTCACCTTTTCTCGTCGACGTTTCATCCATTATCGTCCTCGGTGATCCACGGGAACGTTCCGTGGATCATCGCCGTCGCGCTTCCATTTTTTTTTCGACAGCAGCGGTTTTCTTCAAAGCAGCTGCTTCGGTTCCGATATCTCACAACTAAACGCCCCTTTATTTATTCTATCCCTATTCAAACTTTAATTTCGATTTGCCTTTGATAACCTACGTG